TCCCACATAATTTGATGTTTATGTATCTAAGTATATAGATATGTGTGTGTGTGTGTGTGTGTGTGTGTGTATTACATATATATATATATATATATATATATGTTTAGTATAAATATATATATATATATATATTGTGTGTATATATATATCTATATCTATATCTATATATATATATATATATATATATATATATATATAAACATATACATATACATATAGTTATATCTATAGCTATATCTATCTATATATAGATATATTATATATATATATATATATATATATATATATATTATGTATGTTTGTGTGTGTAAGTACGTTTGTACGTGTGCACATACATATATATATATATATATATATATATATATATATATATGCCTGTGTCTATGTCTGTGTCTGTATATATATATATATATCTAATATATATATAATATGTCTGTTTGTGTGTGTATGTACGTTTGTACGTGTGCACGTATATATATATATATATATATATGTGTGTGTGTGTGTGTCTGTGTCTGTGTCTGTATATATATCTATATATATCTATATATATATATATATATGTGTGTGTGTGTGTATGTATATATGTATATTTATATATATAATATATATATATATATATATATATATATATATGTCTGTGTTTGTGTCTGTGTCTGTGTTCATACATGTTGGTCTTTCTTTTGTGGGAATGTAGTTGACTGTATAACTCCAATTTTCTGAAGCAAAAATGTCTTAGGTGTTGGCTTCACGATTGTCATATATACCAATTGCTAAAGTTTGTCACATTGCCCCTCGTCTCACAACGGAAGAGTATGGGATGTTCATACGCATCCTCGGTACATTAGTATCAGTACGAGTTAGATTGGGACAGACTTTTGTTTTTTTTTACCGGCTAAAATTGGTAACCCTATCAGCAGAGGCAACGTTTATGAATAAGTGTTGAAATCCTCTCGGTGTGATCATATCTACTTCGAATTATAGCTGACTGTTTTACCCCTACCAGTTTGTCAATGAATCTTTACTAACCATGGTGCTTTTGTCCTGCTACACTTGGGACACACCTATCTCACACACTACAATTCATGCCTGTGTGTAGCTCGCCTCCTTGGGACAATGCAGGATAAATGAGCGCGCCCCAGCGGCAGTCGACCCGACACTTGTTCCGGCGGTGACGGATACGACTTTCAATACTACATTACAAAACAACACGCTAGTGATGGTGCTATTTGGTACCACCTGGTGCAAGTACAGCCGCGCCTTCAAGCCTATATTCGAATCGACCGCAAAGCAACTAGTTTCTGAGGTAGACATGCATGTACTTGAACGGATTTGTACACGCGCGACAGCAACTGTTGTGTCGCCCATGTTTTGTTTTTGCCAACTCGTGCTTTTCTACACCGCCAAATGCGTGCATGATATAGCTTGATTGTTGTATGTTGAGATTTTCGAGTACGTAATTCCTATACAGCTATATTCTCCATGCGTAATTTGGCGTGCGATCGGAATCTAGCTTAGCTTTCGCTATGTACTTGATTTTATGCTGCGTATCTGTGGTCAGATTTGATCAAGCGGGTGTATTGGATGCTCCAGTTTGCTCAGAAGGACCGCGACAACACCTGCTCGGTATTGTCAGCTGCTGCAATATCTTGAATTCCTATTCTGATGTGCGTGATTTCGTATTTATCTCTTTAACACTTATTCAAATTCTACAACGCTCGGTTCTCAAAAGGGAAGTGAAAAGATCAACCCAGACAAGGTGCCCGTTACTCTAGTGCAGGCAGATTGCCAGACCGAAAAGAACCTGTGCAATAGGTACAGGGTGACTAAGTACCCGACTGTGCGCTTGTTCTGGCAAGGACGATTATTGGACAAAGAATACAGAGGCACCAGGAATGTGCCTAGTATTCTAACGCATATCGCGCATATACTCCATCCGCACCTCAGTGAGGTGGTTGGTTCGATGGACTTTGCGACCCTCGGCCATCATTCAAAGGGTATATATATATATGTGTGTGTGTGTGTGTGTGTGTGTGTGTGTGTATAAATGTGCGTGTGTGTATGTGTGTGTGTTATACATATATATATGTATGTATGTATGTATGTATGTATGTATATATATATATTTATTTATATATATATATATATATAATTCTAATTCTATTTATAATTACAATTATATATAGGCCATTATCAAGTTTGAGTATTTCAATACACATTGAGTATACATTTTGTTCAATGGCAGCAATCGCATATGATATGACATATATTTATATTTTGTACCTGAGCCCATACTATCACGTGCGTGCATCTCGTGGGCCTTGAGTCAGTATGTATTGCTATATATTACCATTGTTTGCGGTGAATTGGATTTGTACAGATATCTGTACAATACGTCGAGCATTTGTAATCGTCTGCGTGGACTTGCTGCTTGAGTTCGAGAATTTAACATGTAGTCCGTTGAGTTGGTGGGACATACCTACCCGCCCTTCCCTTGGGAGGCATATCATTAAGTCTATGGGGCATCACTTCGGAAATAATTGCTAGCGTGAGATTGCGAATACTGTTGTCTGACCCCGCTTTTTTTACCTCCTTACTCCTGGTGAGCAGTCATTTTGGGAGTTTTCACATCAACGGACACAGAGAACTACAAGATTTTCCAGCGAACTTCCGAGAAGTTGTTTGACGTGTGCCATTTTCACTACACAACAAGGTGAGTATATGGGTGTGTGTCTTCTAATCCGGTAGGATCGATCTGTCAACCCTTCGCGTGCCGGTGTTGTGTTTGTCATAGCCCGATTAGATCATTAGGTGAATTGGAGTACTTGTCAAGCATGTCAAGCCGAGCTTACGCGAATATGACCATATAATCTTATGCTCTAGACTCTCCAAGCATGTAGTAGCCCGCCCTTCTGCGCGTTATGTTGATTGTATGTCATTGGTCACGTTTTATAACTCACTTGATACGCACCACTGTACTACTAAACATCGGTGCAGTCCGCATCTCGCCGGCATAAGCTCCGCCACATCAGAAACGGGAGAACCAATCATTATGTTCAAGAAGCGAAGTCAAGACAGACGGTACACGCAAAACAATTCTACTGATGGGCTTCTCAATGAAGGTAGAATGGTTGATGCACGCGCAACACGTGTACGATGACAGCATTTTGCCATGCCCTATTATCTCGAATTTCTCGTTATGTGTGGCACCCCAGTCTTGAAAGAATCTGTAGCAATTGGGCAGACTATCATTTTCAGTAGATATCAAACAAAGGCTATTCGTGGTGGTATCTACAGGCTCAGTGAAGGCTCATCTCTGTTGCTCGTGTACGGCTTGTTCGTTGGTACTAGGCAGTAGCGCTTATATATATCACCTCTTCGAAAGTTATCCTGTGCTTCTTTGGACTCGGCTAAAAGTTCACTTCTTTGTTGGCTTGTTTTCACACCGCATATGTTCTGTGTTGTTTGCTTAAAACAGAGCAATTTCTTCAGTGGGCAACGAATCGATGCAAACCTTTGGTGGACGAAATAACATTTGAGAACGCCGAGGGACTAACGGAAGAGTCGCTTCCTTTCATGATCCTGTTCACACAGTATGTTCTGTCACTTTACTTTATAGAGTCTCGTTTAAATGCTTGACACCTTTTTGTATATATGTTTTGTGGTGGGCGGCTTCTTAGTGAGAGATTTATCTGGTAGGTAAATTATGCGCCTTTTGAAATCAGATCGGAATATAGTATCCGCAAATCTGCATCCTGTTGTTAAATTAGGTGTTCCAGCTGTCTCAAACAAGGAAAAGGTATCTCATGTTTACTCGTTGAAGATACTATCAATTCCTATTCCGCGCTCAAGACTTTTTAACAGCGTATTTACATGTTTTGATTAACAGTTGTTTTCTATTCTACGTTTTACTGTGCTGTCAATGACAATCAGACCCGGGGACTTCGCGATACGAAACGAATACATAGCCTTCGTCGAGAAGAATCTGGCGCATGAGAAGCACCGCATCAAATTTCTGATTGCTGATGGTGAGAAGTTCAACATCCCCCTGAAAGCCCTAAAAAAGACCATTGCTGATTTACCAGTATTGGCGATCGATTCCTTTTCGCACATATATGCATTTCCGGACCCGATCAGACCCTTCCCTGCGGTTCAGGAGTTGCAGGTTTGGGTGGACGATTTCTTCACGGGAGTTCTGCACAAGAATTTTCACAGCAAGGTGTGTGTGTCGCATCATGCAGTGAGAGAATATCTGGGAGAATATTTTGTTCTCCAGATGAATTTGATGTCATAAAACTTCCTAGCTGCCGAATGTCCACTATATGTATAGTTTCTCACGTTGACGCGTGGTCGATACTAGAACCAAGACAACAACATAAATACATTTATTCAATCTATATCATCAGAATCTGGAGCTGCCGCCAAAAACCGAATTCAAGAAGCTGGAACCCAGCACAAAGAGGTATTCAATGAGAGCGAGAGACGAGCTCTGATTATCGAACCCAAATTTTGATCCTCAAGGTCGATGGGCCCGATATCGTCGAAGCCCTGCACAACACTCGCTATGAAATAGCTACAATCTCATCGCCAGAACATTAATTGCGTGACCTCGTATATTATGGGGACCACACCCTTTTGTACAGTATCTGCTGGTGCCGGAACTGTGTAGTGTAGCCATACATACATCTCTTCTCCGCCTAGAAATTTAGAGTGTCAACTTTTGTACAAATTTAGTTACTTTCACCCCTACAAGTCATGAAGGAATTCCAAAATGCGGTATCCGAATGGCAATTTACCCTCGACTCACCACACAATGTTTTGATCGTTGTACGTGTCTAACACCCTCGAGCTAATTCAAAATCTGGTGAAAGCCCCATTTTGACACAAACCCCCCGCGATACGAATCTTAAGATAATTCATTTAGGTTAGAGAAGAGTGGTAGTGTGCCGTTCTGTCTGGATGTTTAACTTCAGGGGGGGGGGGGGGGGTATGTCACCACCATGGCCAATACGTACTTGTATAGATCAAGTCAATGAACAAATAAATCAAAGTTTTTCTGGGCTCTGATTGCACCTATTTACGATTTATATTATGTACAGCAAAATAAACGTCGAAGTTGTCATAGTACGAGTGCATTCCTAAGAACTCCTGACTCATCAAAACTTGACGTGTATCGATGATCATTTGCAAAAATGACTAAAACTCGGCTGTAGAGCCACCGTTGAGAAGCGTTTTCCTAAGCCAAGTTGAGATCAACCGAGAGCTAAATACAAACATTTTCTACATAGCCCCCTCAAAAAAAAAACACTTACCTTCTAATCAAACAGAAAAAGCCTTAGGGTTTCTGACTCCCAGTATGTCTCCATTGGTTAAAAAATAAAAATGAATGCTACTTATGAGTGATGACATCATTAGTGCAGACTGCAGAACAATCTCTCTAGTATTTATTCCAATTGTTTTGTTTTTTTAAACAAACTATACTTATGGGGGCAGAGGGCACAGCTGTGCCCCTTCTGAGACTTGAGAGCTATGGTGCGCAGCAGTAAGAACCGAGAAACTCAGAGGGACTATTTTTAAATTTTTATATCATCGAGTTTTTGTCCAAATCGGGTTTTCACAACGGCTATGGCCTTGTCTCGTCGAGCTAAAAACGGGAAGCCGGTTGGAATTTTTCGAATTGCCTTTTTTCAAAATTTTGGATTTTGAAATTCGCCAAAAAGGCATCTAAACTGGCCTAAACGCTTCAAACTCATCGGATTTGGACTCTCCAAGTGTTTCGGGTCACAACCATGCGTCTAACTATCAAAATACACGCCGAAGACATTATTTATTCGTAATAATAGTCTCATTTTTATGCGGTCAGACCTCATTGATAAGGTATATACGATGAGTACACGTAAACGTAGGACGAACAAAAGTACATCTAGGTTGGGCTGTGTACAGTCAGCTCGTGGTGTGCGCGGTAGATTTGTTAGTAATCGTCCGGAACCTGAGGGTGCTGAAGAATTAATTAGTGATGAAGTTAGTGAATCCAGCGATAATGAAGTTGAGCCGAGTGGGAATATAGAGATCGTCGTTTCCATCAGCGATTTAAATAGCTTGAGCTGATCTCTGTCATCCTGCTGCTCTGTTTACCTCACTGTATTTAGAAGCGTGAAATGGTTTTTTTGTACAATGGATATTGTGTTTGATTGTGTATTTTACTTCATTATGAATTTTTATTTATTTATGGCCTCTGGGCTAAAGGCATGCCTGGCACTCTTATGTAGAAAAATAATAGTTCTTGACTCCAGAGTCCAGACTCTGAGAGTGGCCGAAGGGGCCGGCCGAAGGCCGAAGGGGGCCATCTGACGAAAAATAAATATTGTTGTCAATTCTGAAACATCACATCCAAATAATAGAAGTAAAAAAAGCTTTTTGGAACTTTAATTTCAAAAATAAAACCCGATTGCGGTCGGTTCTACGGCTATGTACCCTCCCGAAATGCCGAAATACACCACGAGTCCATGACCCTCGCTCTCTACTGTATTTAGAGAGTAGTCAGTAAGAGAGAAAATAAATGTGAGAGATTTTAGATCGAAGATGGCCATAAATTTATGAAACAACAGTGAAATTCCTCTGTTCTTGTTCATAGTTCAAATGAAATATATTTCACTCCCTCTATGAAATTTTAGGATGAAATTGAAAAACAAAACAACTTATCTTTCGAACGGACAATCGCTTTGAAGAATGAAGACTGGCTTCAAAATATAAAAAATTGCTCTTTATGATCGTCTGGTTATTATGTCAATGATGTCATCACTGTAACTGAGTCACTGACTCCTCATGTGATGGCGGGCTGATACAAAAATACTTAAATATTTTCACCGACCCTAATTGGGCTTTGGCCTTATTTAAAAGCCAATTCCAGAGCCGCGGCCGGCCCTCTCTCTCCCTCTCTCGACTGAGGGAGTGTGTGACTCAGTGAATGCCTGCTGTGGAATTTGTTTTGTTTTTTAAACTCTATACATAGTGTTTTTATACAAAAACAACCCAAATTGTATAAATATCATCCTCCTATTTTAGAGGACCAGACTCCAGACTCTCCGAGTCTCTCTCTCTCTCTACTGTAGTAGACATGACCGTCTACTCTCACCTGAACGGACTAAAGTCCGTAGGACGTCCAGACTCCAGAGTCCAGACTGATAGACTCACCTGAGTTTTTGGCCGGGCCCCAGAGCCTCTCTCTCTACATAATGCCTCAAAGGCTCAAAAGGGGCCTCCAAAAATGTCTGGAGGCTATGAAAAAAGTTAAAATAAATAAATATTGTAAGTATAAGAATATTTATAAAAAAATATTTGTTCCAATTTATATTATTATAAACACCTGCTGTGTATATATAGAGGCTTGTTGCGGATAGTTTAACATAGCTTCCGGCCTGTGGACTAAGTCACAAATTCGAAGTTATTACCATGAGTACTAAATTGCTGATACGCGGTGGAACGGTGGTCAACGATGAC